ACAAAGTTAAGCTGTTGATTGAAAGCTTCTTAAAGAATTAGAAGCCAAGTTTACAAAGTCCAAGTGGAAAGAGTGCAAGAAAGGACAAGGACTATCTCTCACATAACTCTGTTATTACCCACAGTGCCTAATAAAGTGCCTCACATATACCTTGTGTTCAATAAATATTTATTGAAGGAATAAATGGAAAAATAGCTTGGAACTTAAAAAAAGAACTTATTAAAATATAATTCTAAAATCAATATATTGTAGAACCTGAAATTCTTGTTAACAGTTTCAGATGAATGAAAGGATCCAAATCCTCACAACTTTTTGATACATCTGTTGCTAGAACACAGTATAAATAACCCTTACTATCTCATCTGAGTATCTCATTGTAGTTTGATCCCAGGAAAAATGTAAACTGTGATTAGACGAATTTATCTGCAATTTGCAACCAAGGGTGAGGAAGAGTGGTTAGAGTTCTCTTCCATATCCTGACTGGGGTCAAGATAAATGTATAGGTCACCATGTATTGATGGAACAAAATGTGAGGAAATGATATAAATGAGCACAATTGACTTGGGTAAGATATGAAAGAAAAGCTTCTAGGAAGCAAGGGACCAGAGACTCCAAATACTGCTTGACTAATAAAGAAAAGTTAGAATCAATAATATTATCCACCTAGAATTCTGAAAAAGAAGTCTAACATGTAAGAAATAACACAGAGAATTAATCTACAAAAGGCTAAAGGTAGTATAAGCTCTAATTAAAATTAATCCTACCAAGCTATCTGGCACAACTGAAATTTCACATAAAGGTTTTGAGAATCAAAATACTAACAAGACTTAGTGATCACCTCAAGTTATTTAGAAGGGAAAGAGAGAAACAATTAACTGGATATCAACAGCAGGATACCCAAGGGGGCCCATACAATTCCTTAAGAAAAAATCAATGTCATTGAGAATAAGAAAGTGTCAGGACAAAAAAATTTAGGTTGAATTCAATTGTAATAAAATCATGACCCCTTGTGATTTGGACTCCTGTAATATTTGTGCCTCACAGAAGTAAAATTCACAGGGCCATAGATAATGATAAAGTAATGGAAAAAATACAAGAATTGAGCATCAAATGATCAATACTGGTGATCAAGTAGCCTCAGAAAGAATGTCCAAACAGAGCATGTGGACTTCATAGCTCATGGTAAGGAGAAAAAAATGAAGTCTCTCCTCACCCAGCAAAGTACTCAGAGCTTTCTTTCTCTATGTGTGTGTGTGTGTGTGTGTGTGTGTGTGTGTGTGTCTGTCTCTTTCTATAAATACATATACATATTACATATATATGTACAATTTATGTGTGTGTTATATATACATATATGTATGTATGTATAAAAATAAGTGCTTTTGAAGTCGTACTGCTTTTTGGTTTTAGCTTTTAACCAAGATGTACCATCCAACATTAAATATAAATTTATCATCAGATGTAAATATGAGAAAAGCACTGGTTACCTATGAAAATTGGATAAAGTAATCCACACAAAAAACTATGTTATCTACCTATATCTACATACCTACATAGATATGTCTAAGCTAATCCTTCTACTAGCTACTTTCTCTATTTTAGGCATCTTGCTAAACTGAGGAAAATTAAGACTTCTATTCAATTTCTAATTCAGAAGAAGTTATAGATTAACTTTTCAAACAAACTTATGTTCCTTATATAGAACACTGTGATTTCCAAAAGTAAGCTGTTCTCCCAGATTAAGAATAATAAGATTCAATGGATCTCTGATCGTCACTGTAGTTCTCCATGGTACAGATGGCAACACTCATACCTTTTTACTCTAAGATCCTCTTGTCTGTGGCTTTCCATAAATCCTCCATGAAGGATCTATCCCATATGCTAGAGGTTTTCCTATAGCTTTTTAAAACCTTACTTATAACAATGCAGTACTCAGCCCTTCTCTCATCTCTGCTACATGACTTCCCCTCCCTTTTCAGTATGAGTACTTATTAGTGTCTTTTTCATCAAGCCTCATATATGTTACTGTTGATAATGTACTGTGATCTATTTACATCTTTACATTAACCCTTGCTTGCCAGCAATTTTTATTCTTCTCAAATCACAGGGTTTTAGGACTTTGAGTCATATAGAATTATTGCATGAATACTAGTATTTTAAAATGAGCTTTTGTAGCAGTGAGCAGCTTGGGATCACTAAAAGCATTGCACAATTTCTATATGTGACTCAGCCCAATCTGTTCTCCTTTACAGTTCTGGGCCTAGTATCTATCAACTATGCCTTTGAGCTACCTATCAAAATGCATGAGCAAGAGGAACAATTTGTGTTCCTCATCACTCTGTTTTGCTAGAGTGGACGGTTAGGCTGATATTTTGGAGTAAAAACAGACCTCCCTGAGAAGGTCCTATCATAACTCCATGCAATCAGCACAATGTCAGTTCCAAAGAGGAAGATGGAGAAAACCTCTCCAATGAAACGCATGATCTCTTTTATGGGAATTTGTACAGAATTTACTCCATGATGCCTTTTGTGTGCAGCTGGCTCCTTATTTTGTGCCTCACTTGACAGTGATACTGAGCACATCAGTGAACAAAGTTATTTTTGTGGTCACATATGATGTAGAATTTTATATGATCTTAACATGTACAGAGAAATTCATTTGAAGAGACCCTTTAAGATCGTATTTACTCAAAATTTTCCTCAAAAGTCAAAATTTTTATAATTAACGAGCAACTAACATCATGGGATTTTACATTTCCTACATCTGAGTCAATTTTGTTAACTGTGAAGATATATTCTACTGTGGAAAATGTCTGCAAAATAACTTACCTCTTCGTCTCTCTTGTTCTTGTCAAGGGAATGCTCAATTTATGCACAGACCATTCTAATACAGAATTCACAGAGATAAAAGAATAGGCATATTGGTAGTTATAGATGTCTTCCCTTCAATGGCAGTAACATTATGTTATGTTTTTCCATTCTTTGGGCATCTTCCCCTCTTTTGAGATATCTTAGTATCTTGCAAATTGATACTTAAGTGTCTTCAATACTATACTACCATAGCTCAAATTTATTCTCTATGTACTTGGTCAGGTTAACCTGCTCTTCCCAACTTTATCTTCGTTAGTCTCAATGATGCTAACATAATATATGAGGCACCAAGGTGGCAGAATCCAAATGCAATGGTACCACTACTATCGCTAAAGAGAATAGACTGAACATAAAAACACTGGTAGATCTCTGAATTCACATCTATTTATTGTTCTTCCATTTTCATTAACAAATGCTTTTTAAATTATCTCTTTGGCATAGCTTGGTCTAATGTCACGTTCCCTGTGGGCTCCTTTTCTAATTCAAATGATTTTTGGTATATTTTGAAGTGATACAGAGTAAATGTCTTTAGTTTTTACCATTGACCTTTTTATTTTCAAGCAACAGTTTGTTTAAACAACTCAGGTTCTTCCATCATCATCTCCATTGTGTTTTACAGACAAGCTAATACACTAAAATGGTGTTGCCTTTAAAGCTGCCATATCCCCCCAACTTAGCAAAGAGATCAAGTTTTTTTCTGGCTGAAACTATTTCTGGGTTCTTTTGTTTTTCTTATTATGATGACTATTTTATATCAGTTAATCTTCTGCAATAAATGGTAATGGAATAAATGTCTTTAGTTTTACCACTGCCCTTTTTATTTTCAGGCAACAGTTTATTTAAACAACTCAGGTTGGAGCTACTAGAATTATATATTGTACCTTTTCATCCTTGTCATTTTTCTAATTTGTTACTGATTTTGTCCTTTCCTCTAACCAGCTGATATTATTGTTGCTTCACAGATAAGGGATTCTAAAGTGACTGACAAGTAACTAGGCATTTTCTGTCTGTTAAACGAGATAGCCAATTTTATTTTTTCTAGGTTGTTTGATGCTCATCATATGTCATTTTACACCTCTCTTCTTGAAGAAAATATTCATGAAGTAGAAACACAAGGCTTCTGATCAGTTATCGATTGTTGGTTTCTTTCATTCCTTGAATTTGAATCTTATTTTCCAGCACTTTTAATCATCTTCCCCTATATCTACTTTTGTACAGTTACCAAGAATCAAGAGGGACACTGACTTAATGTGGAGAATCTTGTCAAGTTCCTTATGAAATTTCTCTATCATTTCATGGTGGTCTACTTGCTTATATTTATTATGAGTATTATGTATATGTGAGAAACCCAAGTATTCCACAAAATTACATTTCTTATTACCTGGGCACAAGATAAAGCCAAATCTGTCAACTCCCTTGAAGAACTATCCAAGGAGAACCCAAAGTTCTTCTTTCATTCAGATGTGACTTCTTTCTGCCAGTGAGAATGTCAATATGGATGTGGTTCCATTCTTGTAGGAGTCTAACAACTGCCTTGTCATTAGACAGGGATTGCAGATTAAAACAACTGATGAGTAAAATGATTATGTGTAGACAGTCTAAGAACTATCTGATTCTTGGCACTCTCTGCCCCCTTTCCACTAATCTGACCAGAAAGGCAGAAGGGAGCCACACAGGCCTGACAGCCATTTTCTATGTCAATCTTCTCCATGGTTCACCATGGCCAAACAATTCTTATCTCCACCTAGCTGGGGTGGCCTTTGACAGCAGGTCAAGCCTCTTACTGGGACCACACCTGAAGCCTTTGCAGTTTGAAACAAATTGCCAGAGCCTGCACTCTGCCAGCATAGCCAGGGAAAAGCCACCTCTACACCTTGATGATTTGAGTAGGGCTAGCATAAAAAAAAAAAAGTTAAAATCAGCATAGTGTAGTGAATAAAGAGCCAAACACAGAGCCAAGAAGCCCTGGGTTCAAGTCCTGCCTCTGACAAATAGTAGCTCTGTGACCCTAGGAAAGTAACTTAACCTCTCAGTGACTCCTGGCACCTTTCTAACCATAAATAAGAAAACATAAGCAGATCTGCATTGGAAGAGGGAATTTCCTCACTAGAAGTTCCCTACACCAATAAAAACACAGGTCTTGATTGTTATCTTTCCCTCCTTCCCCCCCCAAAAAAACCCAGTAACAACTCACATTTATACAAAGCATTAAGGCTTAACAAAACACAAGAACCCTTTGAGGTAGGTAATACTTCTGCTTTAGCCACAAACGTATGTGGGCAATTCATGAAAATGATGGAATAGTTTAGACTGCCAAACAAAATCTAACATCAGAATTCAAACAATGGTGGAAGTGAGGAAAATGAAGGATGCACTTGTCTGAATACAATGAAAGAAATGAAAATAAATCTAGATATTAAGAATAACTGCATATTATTTTTGAAGGATTCAAAATTTCCTTCATATCCTTTCCATATTCAATTTGATATGCACTGGCAAGAAAAGTCAGAACATGAAAATGTACCCTTGATTTGATGACTCAAAGACCAGGGTGTGGAAAGATGTTTCTAACTAAAGACCTAAAACAGACCTAAAAACGGTTAAATTGTTCTGGCAGGGACAGCCAACAAAGCTATACTGTGGTACTTACAAGCTCTGAGAAAAAGGGGAAGCCTATATTGGAGAGATAACAGAGATAGAGATTGAAACACACTGCTTCCACCAAAAACTGACTCAGAAACGTTTTTTAGCAACAAAATATGGACTGCCCACCTTGACACACCTTTCTTATTTTAAAAGCTAACTTGTTAGATTAGTTCCCTATGTACTTTAATGTAGTTAGGAGAAATGCCTAAGTTCCACGAGGCATAGAGAAATGAATTTAGAAAGACAGTTCCCTCTACATTAAGTGTAAACAGTTTTCTTCCAAAAGAAGACAGGATACTTTGTTAGTTCTTTCACCACCTCAGCCTCCTTGACAAACTGACCAGCAACGTGAAAGCCATGGAATAAAAGCTGGGAACACCTGCCCAGGACCCAAACATGCAGAGGATCTCACTTTCTCCAGATGTTCTCCTTTTCCCTCAACTGCATCTTCTATTCTTCACAGTTTGTGTTTTTTGCCTTGGAATGAAAAGATGTTGAAAGAGGAATCTCCCCAACGAAAAATTCAAATCTTTGAAAAGATTTCTAGTCATTTCTTTCGCATTTTACAAACAAAATATGAGCCTTAACAGAACAAAGAGAAAACAACATTAGAATTAAGCAGACCCAAACTCAAGCATCCACTTTTCATACTTCTCTAGGTCTGCAGCAGACACAGACTTAGAGATTTTCTTCAGCGCCAACTCAAAATCCCCTTTTGTAACAGGCATCTGCAGCTCTTCCTTAGAAAGGGCTCGTATCTCTTCTGGGCTTAAGCCATGGATGCGCCGTCTCATTGCCATTAGAGAAGCATCCCTGGGGATACATAAAAATACATCAAAACAACCGCTGCCCATGGTAAAAACAAAATGAATGGGAACAGCTAGGTGGTGCAGTAGATAGAGTTCTGGCCTTGGAGTCCAGGAGGACCTGAGTTCAAATCAGGCCTCAGATACTTGGCACTTACTAGCTGTGTGACCCTGGGCAAGTCATTTAACCCTGATTGCCTCACCAAAAAAAAAGCAAAAGAAAGAAAGAAAGAAAGATGAATGACTGTGCTAAAAGAACATTCAAGAAAGTACCTGTTTTAAAAGGCTAAGGAGTATTTTCTACCTTAGTAGCAGGATGGGGGTTCACAACAATAAAAATAATAATATTAGGAAGGAACAGTGAGAAGCAGAGGATGTAGTGGAAAGAGCACTGAATTTAGCCTTGAAGAGCCAAGGCTCAGCTCTGACATCTGGCACTATCTACCTATGTGAGGCTGGGAAGTTACTCTATCTCTAGGACTTGGTTCCCTATACAATAAGAATGCTGATCCAGGTAACTGCTAAGATCCTTTCCAACTCAAAATTTATATTTGATCTGGAAAGTCTCTCTAACTCTAAATCCTATGATCTTAAACTAATAATGGCATTCATTTATAAATGGAAGCAACCATGGCATAGTGGATAGAGAACTGGTCTCCATGCCAGAAGACATGGGTTCAAGGCCTGACTCCAACTCTTTCTGGCTATGTGACCTTGGGCACATCACTTGGCCTTTCAGTGATCTTCTGGGATTGAGCTGCAGAGAAGGTGCCCACATGCACTGGTAGAGGGAGTGTCCTTATCTAGAGGCTCCTTAGATCAATGAAATCATAGGTCCAGTGATGATCCCTACACCCTACTTTTATGTAACTATGCAGTTTAAAAAGCAATTTATACATTAGTCATTGCATAATGTGGCTGTTACTGTGCACAGTGTTCTCCTGGTTCTGCTCACTTCACTCAGCATCAGTCCATAGAAGTTTTTCCAGGTTTTTCTGAAGTCTGCCTGCTCATCATTTCTTATAGCACAATAGTACTCCATTACATTCATATACCACAACTTGCTCAGCCATTCCCCAACTGATGGGCATCCTCTCAATTTCCAATTCTTTGCCACCACAAAAAGAGCTGCTATAAATATTTTTGTACATGTGGGTCCTTTTCCCATTTTTATGATCTCTTTGGGGTATAGCCCTAGAAGTGATATTGCTGGGTCAAAGGGTGTGCACATTTTATAGCCCTTTGGGCACAGTTCCAAATTGTTCTCAAAAATGGTCAGATCATTTCACAACTCCACTAACAATATATTAGTGTTCCAATTTTCCCACATCTTTTCCAACATTTATCATTTTCCTGTTTTGTCATGTTGGCCAGTCTGATAGGTGTGATGTGGTAACTCAGAGTTGTTTTGATCTGCATTTCTCTAATCAATAGTGATTTAGAGCATTTTTTCATATGACTATAGATGGCTTTAATTTCTTCATCTACTAATAACTAACACTGATAGACTTAGCTCTTCTCAACAATGCAAGGATCTAAGACATCTTCAAAGGTCTCAAGATGGAAAATGCTATCCACATCCAAAGAAAGAACTATGGAGTTTAAATGCAGATCGAAGCATACTCTGCTATTTTGTTTTCTTCTGTTTTGTTTTCGCTTTCTTGTGGTTCCTCCTATTGGTTCTAATTCTTCCTTACAACATCACTAATGTGAAAATATGTTTAATAGAAATGTATATGTGTAGTCTAGTGCGCTATCTTGAGGAGGGAGGGGGTTATTTTTTTAATTAAAAAAAAAGCCATTTATATAATACCCCCTCATATGTTCCTCACAACACTCCAGTGAGACAGTTCATGTAAACAGGATCCTCACTGATGGAGGAGGAGACTAAGGTTCAGAGAGATTAGTCACTTGCCCTGGATCACAGAGGCAATAGGCTCAAATCGATCAAGGTATCAAGAACTCAAACCCAGGGGCTCCTCTGTGTCTAATGCTCTTCCCACGCTGCCTGAACTATGGAGTGTCTTCCAGATCAGCAAAACAGAAATATGATGAAAGTAACCCAAAGTGCATGCTCTGGACAGCCTTATTTTCTATGGCAGGAATCTTGAGAAATACTCCTTTTCTCTCACTCTGAGCTAAGCTTTGAATAATCCATATCTGAAGGACAATGAAATCATGAGAATTCATAAAGTACCTGTCCATGACTTAACTTAACCAGATGGGTTAAAGCCAGCTCCTTCTTTATTTGTAACATAAATCCAACCAGGAAAAAAAAAAGCCAAAGCACTCTCCAACCTTGTGGATGTCCTCATGGCAGAATCTCTAGAACTAAGGTAAAGGTAAAGGGGTTAGCTTCTCTCTCAACCCCAATTATATCTGTGAACTGGCTGCTCAGACAGAGGGTTACTTTAGTCACCAAGCCCAAAAGAATGTGGGTCACAATGGATATTCTGAGGAGAAGAAAAACTAGACCTAGCAACAATTGACTGAAGGAAAAAAGAGAGAAAAGAACAGGCATCTTTGAATGTAAAGAGCACTGATACTTTGAAAGTAAGAGCACTGACTGGGAAGAAAGACCTTCACCAAATTTAAACAGATGCCAAAAGAAATCCTTGGCAATAGTATTTCAGAAACACTTATCTCTACCACACCTCTATCAGGAGACTATAGAAGTGGAGCCAGAAGGAACCCAAGAGGCAGATGAAAAAACTGAGGTCATTTGAGGTGAAGTGATTTGCCCAAGGTCACCCAGGTAAGCAGTGTGTTAAGTGGGTCTTGGACACACATCTTGACTCCAAGTCCGGGGCTCTATCCACTATGTCTCCATGCTGCCACCTAAACCTCTGTGTTTTAATGTTACAATATACATACAAAGTAATGATTGTATTGATATTGAAATCAATATAGGCACATGATTTAAGGTGTTTTTTTTTAAACTAACAGGAAAATCTTTATTATCACCGATTGATACAAAATGGTTCAGAGACCTTTGTGTCACTTAAAACAATGGGAAAACTATAGGAAAAAAACTTATAAAACAAAATTTCTGTTCATTTGTTTCAAAGTGCTACGCCAGCTTTAATTTCCTCACTTAGGGTTCATATAGCCATTAAGATTATTAAGTAACATCATTTAGGTGTAAATGGGGAAAGTGCAAGTGACCAAACTGTAGCAAACACTGGATTAGCATGCAGCCCCTCAGAGCTCAGAGTTTATTCTGTCACTATGAATCCCAGAAGCTCCAGCAGGCAGGAAGCCATATGGCTACCAGAAGAATATTCTAATTATGGACAATGACACTAAGTTGTAAACAACCAATACAAACAAGGAATTCATCTGAAAACAGTATCATGACATTATATTGATAATTATATTTAACTCATAGGCAAACTTTTTTACTTTAGATTTTCTAGATTTTAAAAAATAATTACTAAGGTTTTTTTTTTAAAAATTAAAGAAATACCTGCAAACATTCGTAATGTCAGCCCCAGAATAGCCTTCAATCTTCTCCGCTATCTCTTCTAATTGAATGTCAGGATCTAATTCAACTTCACGAAGATTGATCTTAAGTAGCTCTGCTCTACCTTTTGCTGAAAGAAAATTTCTGGTTAGAGATTTTACAAACCTTTTTACTCTGGCGCTATCACAGTCGCAGACCTGGGAAAAGAAAGAAGTGTAGTGCAGTACAGAGAACAATCAATTCAGTGGCTCTGATTCACGACATCATGACTCAGGAACCCATACTCACTGCCACGGCTTCTATATCTGAAACGGTGCCACTGCGTGACATCTCACAACACGTAGATGCAGAGCTTTAATAACAGTGCCTGACACCATGTGAGCACTTAACTAATTCCTGGTGATTGCCTGATTCATGGGCAATATACCCATAAGCTATCAATTAATCAATAAACATTTGTCAAATGTTTACCACGCGCCAGGCACAATGCTAGGCACTGACAAAAAGAGTCAAGAGACAGACCCTACCCTCAAGGAGCTTATAATTTAATGGAGCAGACAACATAACAAACAAATACATACAAAGCAAGCTATATACAGGATAAATAGGAAATAATTAAGAGAGAGAGAAGGCATTGGAATGAAAAGGGGTTGGTAAAGACTTCCCGTAGGGAGTGAAATTTTAACTGAGACTTAAAGGAAGCCAAAGAGGTCAGTAATGGGAGCAGAGGAGAGAGGGCATTCCAGGCATAGGGGACAGGCAGAGAAGTGCCTGGAACTGAGAGATGGAGTATCTTGTCTGTGGAACAGCCAGGAGGCCAATGTCACTGGATTAAAGAGTATATGTTGAAGAATAAGGTATAAGAAGACTAGAAAGAGGGGAGGAGGCTAGGTTATGAAGGTTCTGCTTTGAATACCAAGCAAAGAGGATTGTGTATTTGCTCCTAGAGGCAAAAGGAAGCCCCTAGAGATTACTGAGTAGTGAGGTCACATGATAAGACCTGAGTTTTAGGAAAATCACTTTGGTGGCTGAATGGAAGAGGGATTAGAGTGGGGAAAGGCTTGAGGCAGGTAGACCCACCAGCAGGCTATTGCAATAGTCCAAGTGTGAGGTTATGAGGACCTTGCACTAGAGTGGTGACAATGTTAGAGGAGAAATGGGGACATATTCAAGAGATGTTACAAAGGTGAAATCAACAAGCCTTGGCAACAGACTGAATGAGGATGCTGCCCGCAACGATAACAGGGAAATTAGGAGCAAGAGAAAGTTTAGGGGGGGAAATCATGAGTTATGCTTTGGGTATACTGAATTGAAGATGTCTAGTGGACACCCAGTTTGAGATTTCTGAAAAACATGTAGAGATGCAAGAGTGCAGATCAGCAGAAAGACTGGAACAGGAAAGGTTCTGATTAGAGCATCATCAGTACAGAGATGGGAATTAGACCCATGGGAGCTGATGAAGTAGCACAGAGGAAGAAGAGAAGACGGCCCAGGACAGAACTCCGAGGTACACCTATGGTTAGAGGGTGTGATCTGGGAAGAGGATCCAGCAAAGGAGACAGATAAGGAGCAGACAGGTAGATAGGTAGGAAGAGAACCAGGGAAGAGTGGTATCCCAAAAACCTAGTGAGAAGAGAGTATAAAGGAGAGAGTGATCAACAGTATCAAAGGACCCAAGAGATCACTGGTAACTTTGGAGAGAGAAGCTTTAGTGGAATGATAAGTAGGAGGCCAGATTGTAAATGGGGAAGAAGAGAGTGACAGGAGAGAGAGGGAGAAGAGAAAGTGAAGGCACCTATTGTAGAAGACCTTTGAGAGGAGTTTAGCCACTAAGGCTCGAAGATGTATAGGATGATAGTTACCAGGGATGGAAGGTTCAAGTGTGAGATTTTTGAGGATGAGGGAGACATGGGCAGGTTTCTAGGCAGTAGGAAATGAGATGGAATAGGATCACCTGAACAGGTAAAAGGTATAACCTTGGAATGGAGGAAGGCCAATTCATCATGTGGAACAGGTGAAGGAGGAAATAATAGCAAAAGATGCCTGAGTGCTAGAAGATGAGGAAGAGGGGGAAAGAGGTAGCTCAAGGTGAATAGCCTCAATGTGAAATAGCACAGGCTTAAAGGAAACTGTTTAGTTTTTTTTAAAGAACTTTCAAACTGTTCTATAAAAATGTAAATATTAGTAAAAAAAAATATGAAACGCTACTTGGGCTTCTAGAGAGCAATGAAAATAACTGGTCTTTGCTAAAAAAAAACAATTTTACAAAACTAAGCAATATGAAAATCTTTATTCAGTTCTCATTCTTCTTAATATATCTGCAGTATGTAATACTATCAACCACTCCTTCCTCTCTTAGCTTTTGTGACACTGCTCCCCCCTGGTTCTCCTCTGACCTGTCTACTATTCCTTCTCAGTCTCCTTTACTGGATATCCCACCCCCTAACTATGAGTGTCCCCCAAAGTTCTGTCTTAGGACCTCTTATTTCTCTATACTCTTTCTCTTCCTGATCCATTATTTTATCCATGTAAATTCTCCCTCCACTGATGGAAACCATGACCTCTGTGCTGTGACAGATGGCTGCATGAGTTGCCATGGCCAAAAAAAGTCATCACTTGGCAGCTCATTTTTTGGTGATAAGCTTCTCAGAGTTTAGTCTGGTCCCTACATGAGACATACATAGCCCATCAACAGGACTTATAATCAAACACTTTCAATTTAATAGGATCTAAAGAGTTCTATTTCTTTGTTCCCAAAAGACTTGGGAATCTGAGTTCCCTCTTTTGCATGATTTACTCCAATGTAGATATAGCCAAAATCAACGGGTGTTTAAGTGTTTACTATGGGCCAGTTACTCTGCTAAGCACTGGGCATTCAAAGAAGGGCAAAAATACTCTCTTTTCTCAAAGAGCTCACATCCTATTGTGGGAGACAAGACCTAAATAAATAGGTACAAATAAGATCCATACAATGTAGATGGAAAGTATCGTGAAAGAGAAGGCTCTGGTGGCTGAGGAAAGGCTTGCTGCTGAAGGTGGCACTGGAGCTAAAAGCTACCTTCATGCCACACTGAGTTAATGGAGCAGGGCTTTAGAAAAGGTATAGCAGCACATGTCAGAAATGTGACAGAAGAAACCACTCTGCTTCATGTGTAGTTGTGGCCTAGCCACTGCTTCTGCAGGTACTGCAGTCACAACTACTAAAGACCTAGAAAACAATGTTATTGCCACCAAAATCCATGGTCCTACCACACTGTTCAACATCAGAAACTTAACATGATTTTGTCAGTGGAAATAACATTTTAAAAGATGCATTATCATCTGCTTTGATGCTACAGCCAAAGGACCCTAGGGCTTTTCCATCTGAGTTGAAATTCTCTGTTGCCTCCCCCATTAGAAGGGGAGCTCCAGGAGGGCAGGGCTTGCCTCTGCTTTTCTGTTGGCATACACAGTGCAAAGAACAACACTTTGCACATACTAAGAGTTTAATTAATGCTTTTTTCATTCATTTAATCAATATTTTTTTTCTAGAAAACAACAATACAGGGGGGTTAAAATTAAGTTTCCTAGGGAAGAAGATTCAGAGGCCTGTGTCTCTGTGGCAACAGAAGTGCATATGGAAACTACCCTCCTTGTGGCACTACCACGGTCACAGGGCACAGCAGCAGAGCACTCCACAAATTTCACACTTAAGGAAAAAAAGCCTTCTTTCTCATGATAACTAAGATCCAAATATAAAACTATTTTCCAAAATAAAATGTAATCTTGAAAGTATTTTTAAATTCCTAGTTTTCCAAGTTTTCCCCTTACCATGTCACCCACTTTAAAATTAATTCCACAAACACATGAAGTTCCTAACATATTCAATAGTGTGTCACCTGCAGGGTACACAAAGATGAAGCAAAGAACAGAACTTGTCTTCAAGGAACTCACAATGTAATGGGAGAAGTGATAAGACACACACTTAGCATTATGGTACATGTGACAAGGGTCCAAACAAATGCTATGAGAAATCTGAGGGTTAACTACTTTTGTAAAAGCTGTATTAGTTCCAGAAGTGCTACCTCAGTAAACAGCCATATCCAGGCAATTCAAAGTACTCTGCATTTTGTTTTATGCCTTAAAGCTGAGAGGTTATGTAGTTGGGTGACTGTAAAATTACATATCTAGTTGAATGTAACAACAGTATTTACTTAAGTTGAGTCTACTGTGCTAAAGAGAAGTTTTGAGGGAAGCATGCTGTTTTTTATATCCTTTGATATTTCCTTTCCACATTAACTCATTCAAAGGTTCAAGTATATAACTAGGATTCTAAAGCATTTAATCTGTACTCATGGTTCTATCAACGATTGTTGGGAGACAGCAAGTAGGAAACCTATCACCTTTATACAAATGGATTAGGGCTATTTAATAAACTCACAGGTGTGTTCTATCATCAGTGAATTCATATTTAAAGGCTCTACTAATATAATGTGATGATTCACATTTAGCTATTTCAATTATAAAGATATGAAATTTTAATTAACATCCATGCTTATTGAGCATTGGTATTCATACAGCATCAATGAATTAATCTATCAACAAATGTTAAGCCTCTGCTATCATTTGCAGGTCTACTTGACACTATAAGGGAATACACAGGCAACTCCAAGGTTCCTGCCCTCAAGAAGTTTATAGTTAGGAAAACAAAATTAACATGTGAGAATAAGGGGGGGGGAGAGCAATGATAAACATATGGCACCATTCGTGCAACAGGAATTCAAAACAAATTACAGTATCACTAAAGCAAACTGACGTTTCAGGGAGAAGATAAGACTTAAACTATGCTTGATTTAGATAAGTAGAGGGTAACAGAGAGGATATTCCAAGCAATAGCATAGAGAAAAAGATATGGAGGCAGGCATGCACCTAGTGTGTAGGAGAGATAGGGGAAGTTAAGAGAGGGTGCAGGTTGAGGAGCTATGGGAAATGCTGCCATGTATGGATAAGGTGAGATCAGATCATGCAGAATCCCGAATGCAATGCAAAGAAGTCTGGATCTGATGCAATAAGAAATAAAACCAATGAAAGTTTTTGAGCAGGAGAGTAATTCAGTATTTTAGGAGTGTCTGTGGGTAGAGGGGTAAGAGAAGGTAAAATCCTTGTAATCAAGCAGGTCAGATAGGAGCTGATGTGGTTAACCAAATGTGAGGTAATGAAAGCCTAGACTAGGTTAGTATCTATGGAAACAGAGAGGAAAAACACAAGTTATCTTAATTGTAAAGTTAGACTATTGAAAACTAAAAGCTCATTTTACTTCTGAGTTCAGTATTTTGATTTCTGTTGACCTTTCTACCATTCTTGAATTTTCTCTTTTCTTTTGGGAGATTTTCATTGATTTCTCTGGGTAAAATGACATTCTCCATGTGGTCCTTCTTGTTTTTCTGGTTCCTTCCAGACTCTTCCCCTTTCCCTATTTCTAGTCCCTACTTTTATCAAAAGCACTGTTCCCTTCTTTCAGTCTCCCTTTTTATGGTCCCCTTTCCCCTGAGATCCCCACCCAGTCTCTCTCCATCTTTTCCTCTCCTTTTTTTTCATGTACGACCTTCTCTTTTAGCTCTCTCCTTTACAGAATCATAGAATCTCGGGGCTGGAAGGGATCTCAGAAGCCACCAAGTCCAATAAGATCCTGAACAATGTTCTTTATAAAATGCCTGACTAATATTTGGTGGAGGAGCCCACTACACATATGTAAAGCTCTAGTCTAAGAGAGAGTTTTTCCTGGCATTAATCTTCAATTTGCCTTTGTACCTTCTACCCATCACAAGTAGTTTTCCCCCCAGAGACAAGCAGAGAGGACTAACTCCTCTTATACACGACAGCACATCAGTCACTTGAAAAAAGCTATCCTCTACCTCCTGAGCTTTCTCTTCAACAATATATCCCTAACATATCTTTCTGGTTTACATGTTCAAGGTCCTTCATCATCTTGGTTACCGTCCTCTAGACTCTATCCAGATTATTGATGTTGTTCCTAAAATGTGATATCCAACCGAAAGTCCTGCTCTAGATGTGGTCTGACCACAACACACAGGACTACTGCCTTTCTGGTACCGAACACTCTTTATGCAAACTGGGATTGCATTCATTTTTTTGGCTGTAACAACACTATGTAACAACACAATGAACCTGCAGTCCACTAAAACATCCAGAACCTTTTAAGATAAACTGCTGCCTAATCATACTTTCCCCATGTTGTATTTATAATATTGGGTTTTTTTTAAATCCAAGCGCAATACTTTTACATTCTCATTAAATTTCATCTTTTTTGATTCAACACAATGTTGCTGCATTTCCAGATCTTTCCAGATATAGACTCTGTCCACCAGAGTGTTAGCAATCTCTTCCCAACTTTTTCATTTGCAAATCTGACTAACATGTCCCCTATGCCTTTATCTATGTCACTGATAAAACTATCAATCAGCACAAAGCCAAGCACAAGTCTCAGGAACTCTCCATTACATACCACCTTACAAAATGACAGCTAACTATTCATGACTGTTGGATCTGGCATTCAAACAGTTCTGAATGCAACTAATCATTTTTTTCAGAATAACATTTGATATTTTATCAAGCAAATTTATCAAATTCAAGTAAACTGCAGCATTTCCCTGATCTACTAAATTATAAAATCTGTCAAAAAAGGAAATAATATTATTCTGGCATGAACTATTCTTAATGACACCAATTTGGTTCTTGGCGATCACTGCTTTCTTTTCAGGATGATCATTAACATTTAAGAAAGGATATCTATTAGGCAGAGAGTGTCTGGGTAAGTGCAAACAGAGTTTTGAGTTCATCCCTCATGAAGACAAGCGAAGGACCTTGGGACAAGAAGACTCAGAGGAGCAGGGAGAGGGGCACATGACAGCTCTCTTTAGGTGTGTTAAGAGTTGTTACACAGCAGAGGGACTGGACAATCTTCTCTTTGACCACAAAGTCCCTAGACCACCCTTTGGGAATCACCATTTTAGGAGATTTTTCAAACATTTTCCAAATGAAATTCTCAAGTCTGTATAGCTCTAAGATATACTGCTTCAAATCTTTGTGATCAACTGAAATGAACTTCAGGCACTCTGACTAAGTGAATACATGCATACAAAGATACCTGTGGGTCAACCAAATATCAGTCAGTTAATGAGTGTATATTAAGCACCTATTACATGCCAGTCACTGTCCTAAGTGCTACAGATACAAAGAAGAGATCCCCAAACCACCAAAAAACAACCCAAAAATGATCCCTGCTCTTCAGGAACTCACTGTCTAATAGTAAGTATAATTTCTTTCCTGGTTTCCAAAGGTGCTGGCACTCTAAGTTCCTTTTTTATTATGCTGTAGGTAGTACCTGTTTCTTTCCCAGTATCTAAGATTCTCTTAGCTGTTCATAAAATTGCTGGCAACAACTACATTCCAAAGACATTTTCTCTTCCAGTTACTTTTTAGTTTTACCACTACAATGAAATGAAGTTTCAAACTCTAAAAGTATGGGTTTTTCCAGGTAGATTTTTTTAAATCAACTCAACTTTCCTATTAGGAACCACTGTGACACAACTTTAAAATCACAACAATAATAACTATCAATAATAATAAATGCATTTATATAGCAATTTAAGGTTTGTAAAGCACTTTATTAATATTTCATCTTATCTTCAACAACCCTGGGAAGTAGGTATTATTATTATCCCCATTTTACAAGTGAGAACACTGAGGCAGACAGGGGTTAAATGTCTTGCCCAGGGTCACACAAATTTAAAGTTAAATTTGACCTCAGGCTTTCCTGACTCCAGGTCTACTGCTCTATCCACTATGCCAACTAGCAGTCTCTACTAGAAATAAACTTCTACTAAATATTTAAAACACAAGTAAACCAATCAAATTTTGTTGCAAATGGTCTAAAATATAGCTAGCAAGTGAGAAACTCTGTGAGGTACACAATTAAACAATGTGACATGCAGTTTTAGTTCTGATCACTATATGAATGCAAACAAGCAAATCTAGCCTCAGACACTCCCTAATGGGTGACCCTGTACAAGTCACCTACCTTCTCCCAGCCTCAATTTCCTCCTCTGTAAAATGGATACAAAAATAGCACCTATTTCATATGGTTTTCTGAGGATCAAATGAGACAACACATGAAGTGTTTAAAACTTTTAAAAGCTCTATAAATGCTAGGCTATAATAACTATTATATCACCCTCAGAGATCAAAGAATGAGTTAAGTATTATACTACTCTGAGAGAAAGATAAAGCCACACAAACTTCAAATGTCAAGGATAACGAAGTTAAGAAGATTAATGAACTAGGAAACAGCATAGATGGTACAATGAGTATATCTTCAAGTTAGAAAGCAATAAGTTCTGTTCTGGAGTCCTGAAGTTGTAATAAAATTAAGTAAATAGCATATTACAATAATTACGTTTCAAAACTCAAGAACTGAGATGAGTATTTCATCATATGCATGATGAAACTTCATTTTCCATAACAGCATATTTCAGAAAACATTACAAGAAAATGTATAATTATCACTCAAATGAAGTTCAAAGAAAGGACTAAATATTAAATGTGAAATTTCTTGCCAAGCATATTAATATCATAACTGTCCTAAATTTGTGAGAATTCACTTAAAAATATCCAGCATGGTAGGTTCCATCTACAGCACATTAACATAGTAAAGTTATATAGATTTTTTTCAAAAGCACTAACATTAGAAATGAAGAAACATAATTAAAGAGATGGTATCATAACAAAGCTGCAAGCAAGAACACAGAACGCTCAAAGCATAGCAAAAAATAGGAATCATACCTGTCGGTAGAGGTATATAAATTCTTTTTTCTAATCTCCTTCGCAAAGCTTCATCAATGTCCCACGGGAAGTTGGTAGCAGCCAACACCATAACCATTTTAGAAGGGTCATCATTTTCTAGAGTTCCTCCAACCCCTGTTGCATTTTTTTTAAAAGAAAAGTTTTTAAAATTTTAGTAACCTAGCAAAAAATAAAATAGTATGTTTTATTCTGTCCTTTATCATGTGTATTGTAAAATACACTAGGATAGGATTCCACTGCATGTGGAGCAGAAGCAGGACTATTGCTTACATCAGCTACTGATAACTAATAAAGATGCAACTTGTTATCATAAGACTCATATTGGAAGAAAAAATGAAGTATCATTTATATTTTCTCCACAGTAAATGTTAACCAGAAGAAAAGAGGTAGGAAGTGGAGAGTGATAGACAAGGGAGATGTTCTAAACGTTTCTATTTCTTCTTTCTTCTTTTCTTTGTTCTAAATGTTTCTATTTCTTCTTCTTTGTTTTTTTTTCCCTCCAGGAAGCTCTTTAAATTTCTTTATGACTTCTAAAACCTTAATATGTTAAAAATGAACCTAGTAGTTACTCATTAATTGAACCATCGTGTCATGTTCTGGCAAGGTTAGACTAATTGCATGCTTATGGTGTTTGATTTTCCTGAATAAGATTTTTTTAACAAAATAGCTTTAGTACCAGCAACACTACCCAGAAAATGCACAATCAAAATTCAAAATAACTATGTGTTATCAAGCTTCTACTTCCCTGGAAACTACAAATAGTCAAATAGTACAATAGAGTTTTTTTAATTCACCACTCAACAATTCACCTGCTCAATAAAAGACTAAATCAATTTACAACTGGTGATTTTTTTTTAAATTAAAAAGCTTCCAATATGGTTTGGGCTCTACCACTGCACCATCTGTTACCAGCATGAAACATGCCAGGGCAAAAGAGAAAGCAGCTGTATTGATTTTAAAGAAAAATATATCCTGGATCTCTACTTCCTTCAACATCTTAACAAGGAGGAAATACTAAGCTTTTTGTGGACAAGGACCAAGTCTTAAACTTCTGTATACTTTACAGTGCCTAATACTGCAAAGGACACAGAGAACATATAAATAGTACTTGCTTGTATAATTGTTTAACAATGTTCTTTGGACAGTATTTCAACAAAAGAATAAAAATAAAAGCTGCCTTCAATATAAAACCTAACAAGAAAACAGCTTAGGCTTAAGGAAGCACTTAAACATTAATTACCATCCATCTGAATGAGCAGTTCAGACTTGACTCTTCGACTTGCCTCATGTTCATCAGAAGTGCCTCTGCGGCTACAGATGGAATCAATCTCATCAATGAAGATTGTTGTAGGAGCATAAAACCTTGCCTTCGAAAAAAGTTTTAAAATTGTTGTAGAGAGAACAGATGAAATATTTTAGAAAAGTTAAAAACTGTAGGGAGGCAGGAAAGGTTCACAAACAGCTATTTCATAGCCCTTTAGTCGCCTGAGAAGATGGATTAGATATACTCCCTACTGTAATGCTTTTAATGTCATACTGCATAGTATGAACTAGTTATTAACACTGTGAAATGACAATTCCTGAAATTAAAGTTATGTTGTAAACCTTTAAAATAAAACATAATTTAATTTTAAAAGGTGTTTTTCAAATTTTTGTTAGCTAAAAAGAGTCAATGCTATAAATTTTTATTTGGTTTTATGAATTTAAAAAAATTATTGTTCTGATTATAGAAAAGAATCACATTTAAAGCTGAAAGGGACCTTAGAGGTCATCGAGTTCAACCCCTTCATTTTACAAATTAGAAAATTGAAGACCACAGCATTATTAAGTGACTTGCCTAGGATCACAAAACCAAGTCTGAAGCAGAATTTAAACCCTGGTCTTGTGAACTTCAAGTGCGGCTCCTCATCCACTAACTCTCCAACAACAACATCCCTAAAGCAGCAGAGGCAAAAAATTGCAGTCATTTATCTACTGGACAAATAACAAGAGCTCTTCTCTAGCCTTCACTGGATGAGAGAGCAGGGCAAAGAGCCCTTGTTGAAAGAGTCAGAAGAACTTGTCCAAAGGCTACTCCTACCATTTACTCCCTGCGCATGAACCTGAATTGTCTGAGTCCCAGTTTTTTCAGCTATAAAACAGAGACTATACCTATCCTAGCTCCCCCCAGTGATGTTGTGGACATCAAAAGGCACAGGAGATGTGAAAGTATTTTTTACACCATAAAATGTTATATAAATGTAAAGTGGTGGTTGGGTTTTTTGTTTGGTGTCATCAAAAGCTTTCTTTTAAGATAGAATACGAAGGCATAATATATTCCTCTCTACCTCAAATACAATCATTCTAGGGTTTTAAGTATTAAAATATGACTTCATTTGGTATGTTTTAAAGTGATCAATATTAATGATTCATCTATGAAGATTCATTTATGAAGAAGTCGGGGGGACACAAATTTTAGGAAGAATGAAATTAAATGAAATTAAAAACTGACTATCATTCTCTGCAATGTAAATGACACAAATTTGAAAATATCACTCTCTACTCACCATTTCAAACAACAGGCGGACCAACTTCTCAGATTCACCCCTATACTTAGATGTCAGAGTAGAGGAGGAAACATTGAAAAACGTTGTGCCACATTCAGTTGCAACAGCTTTTGCAAGCATAGTTTTACCAGTGCCAGGGGGTCCAACCATCAACACACCCTAAAATTCCACAAGAAATATTACTATTTACCACACCATAAAATGCTTGATCACAGTACTGCCAAGAATTAATTTATCTTATACAATTTTTCACTAAAAGATTAAATTCAATCTTCACAGAATAATAATAGGTACAATGATTACCACCATTTTATAGAAAAGGAAAATGAAGAGATTATAAAATTTCCTTCCAATCACAAAAAGAATGAAAGATAGGGGAACAAGTATGCATATTGTGAGGAATCTGCCCATCTCTACTGAATGTGGCAGACAGCACATTTGTACCTTTCATTCTAGGGCAGCTAAATGGCACAGTGGATGGACTGCCAGGTCTGGAGTGAGGAAGACTCCTCTTCCCAAGTTCAACTCCAGCCTCAGACATTTACTGGCTATGTGACCCTGGGCACATCACTTAACCCTGTATCCCTTGGCTTTCTCATCTACAAAAAGAGCTGGAGAAGGAAACGGCAAACCACTCCATTATCTTTGCCAAGAAAACCTCAAATGGAGCCATGAAGAGTCGGAAATGACCGAACAACAAAAATAACCTTTTATTCTTGAGTGCTACTCATGAATGATTATTGTTTAATAATTTAATGAAAATAATCAGACCATTGCAATAGCATATTTCAGATTTATGCACTTTTCACTAATATGTTAAGTATCTATCCCTTTCAGAAGAAAGAAAACATATTGTCCACAAAAATGTTCATACTACATACAGTTTCTATTAAAATACAAACTCTTTATGAATTTAGAAGGCATCAGTAAGGGAAAATTATGCTGTATTTCAAACAAAATCAAATTAGTTTTAATTTGATTACAGTATAATATGCTAGTAAATCAGTAACTTACATGAAATACTACTAGCAATGAAAGAGCTATTGAATATGATCTCTGCTGCAAACATCATTTTGGTTATTCCTTACCTTTGAAATTAACAGGCAAAGCTATTTACTAAAACAAAACACCTGGGAATATCACTGCTTAAAATTTTTGTTTTCTCCAGCCTTTTCAAATGACAGCATTCTTGAATTTGATGTTAATGTCCTTATTTCTGTCAGACACTTCTTTATATGGGATTAGACATATGTTTATTGTAAGATTTGACATGTAAAATTTCAGGGATTTCCAATAAGGAATTTATGCTTTTTTTTGTTTACTACCTAATTTCTTTCAATGTAGCTTGGATTATGCTTAAAAGTCATATCAAGGTCAAATTCCATTCCAGTCAATTTAAGGGGTTATTCAAATTTTGCCTCCTATAATGGAATTTGGTTGAATTGATTGCTGCTCTAATTCGTGACCATTCCTAAGGCTTAGAAATACTAGTTTTCATACAAAGATTTCTTTTACAATGAAGGCAGTGTTATTTATTAGATAAGACTGGAAATTAAGAGAAAACTGGGTTTAAACACCATCTCTGATCTGAACAGTGTGATTCTGGGCAAATACCTTAGGTTCTCTGAATGTCAGTTTCCTCAATGGTGGGTAATACCTAACTCAAAAGGCTGTTTGAAGATAGAACAGGATTACAAATGTACAGTACTCTGACAAATTTAAAACACTATATGAATGTCAGCTACATTTTAAGTACTATTTATACACAAAACATGAGTGATCAAGGATTTCCTAATTCTGAATACTAATAATGTACTGTACAGACACAAATAACTAAGGTCATATGCAGTCAATGCAACAAGTACACAATATATATTTCCACAACTCTCCCTTTTCAAAGTCATTTCAGTTGGGTTTTTTTTGTCATTTAAGTTGTATTTTTAATTATGAACTTGACAAATATGAACATTTGCAATATATAACCCCTTCCAGTTCTTTCTATTATTACACATCAGGAAGAGAACCTATAGAAGTGGCTAATTTATCTTTTTTAACCTATAAAAGTTTGGTCCCTAGCAAAGAATTAGAATGAGGGGATGCCCATCAATTGAGGAATGGCTGAACAAGTTGTGGTATGTGATTATGATGGAATACTTTTGTACTATAAGAAATGATGAGCAGGATGCTCTCAGAAAAACCTGGAAAGACTTGCATGGGCTGATGCAAAGTGAAATGTACTGTGTACAAAGTAATAGCAATATTGTAAGATGATCAGTTGTGAATGACTTAGCTATTCTCAGCAATACGATGATCCAAGAAAATTCTGAAGTACTCATGATGAAAAATGCTATCCATTCCCAGTCTGTATCCAAATACAGACTGAAACATACTTTTTTAAAATTTTCTTTATTTTTCTTTAGGTTTTTTTTTTGGTCTATGTTTTCTTTTACAACATGACTATTATGGATATGCTTTGCATGACTTCACCTGTATAACTTCTATTGAATTGCTTGCCTTCTCAAAGTGGGGAGGGTGGGGGGAGGAAGGGAGGGAGAGAATATGGAACTCCAAGTTTTAAAATAAAATGTTAAAAATTGTTTTTACATGTAACTGGGGAAAAATAAAATACTAAATGAAAAAAAAGTTTGGCCCCTAATTGAGAATGTTGCTTCACCTATCACTGGTACATTATAGTATTTATAGATTTTTATATTCAGAGGAAATCCCTAAAACTTATCACCTACAAACAGGACAAGAATTCCTATTTACTGTGCTAGGATTAAATATTAGGAAATATTTTAAGTGGTAAGAAATTCAATGGCTCCTCATACTAATAATATTTTCTGTGATACCTTCTGAGTACTATTCAAGTGTTGTCCTTCATCAATTATTAATTATTTGGAACCCTTCACCAGTTAGGCAAATTAAAATTAACATATTCCTAGGACCTAAAAGAAAATCAAGATGGACCTAAGAAGAAACAAGGAGAGCTTTCTATTAGCTAAAAGGATGTAATCACTTCAAATATAATTATTCTATCTATTTAGATAATTCTCCAATCTACCTATTTAGACCTGACCCTATCATCTGAGTTTCACTCCCACATTTCCAACAGCCTGCCAGGCAGCCTGTCAACAGCCCATTCTCCTACTCAAAGCCAACATATAAAAAAACAAATTCATCATGTCCCCAATCTGGACCCCTTCCAGGCCCCAAATCAGTTCTCCTCTTGAGTCTCCAGTTTCTATTAATGGTATCATGAGTTTTCCAGTCTTCCATTCTTGAATCTAGCAAGGAAGGAAGGACAATGATTGACTTAAATAAGTTTGATATAATTCTTAATTTCTGGGTATCTAAATTTTCTTTACATAATATTTATAGAAAATTGCATTTCTTTCCCTTTCCATTAATGCTATTTGCTAACAAATATTAAGAAGCACTGTAGGAAACAAATATTTTGACAAAGTCACTACAGGGTTTTATTATGTTATTGTAACCTTGATTTGGGAAGTAGTGAAAAACTGATTTATTGGGAAAAAAAAAACCTATTCAGAAAACAAGTGTCTTAACCTCTTGGAGGTTCAGAAAATTATGATAATTTTTTAATTATAATTACCTGTGGTAAGTCACATTCTATGTGTCCACTTTGAAAGCAGAGACAGCTGATGACAGCTAAGGAATTATATCTTCTGGAGTTTCAGAAGGACATAATCATAATTCTCAAGTAGCACGACCATTATTATGACAAGTGACCCCCAAAAGAACTGAACATAAATCCCAAATCAAAAACTAGATAACTGACTACAAAAGTCATCCTCATTCATTTTTCTTTTTACATGTAAAACCAGAAAAGAAAATTGTAAATTATTTTCTGAGGAGATTGCTTCTTCTATATCATGCCAATAAATAACCATTAAGCTAGAGTAGCTGGCCAAAAATAGTAAAATGTTTTCTATTTTTTACTTCAAATTAATCAACCTCAATAGCTCCAGGAAAACAAGACAAATCTGAATATCATGGACTAGACGGTCCCTCTGAGGAATAACAGATGGTCTACAAAGCTTTCCTATTATCTTTTATCATCCTATTATCCTGTATCTACATTATCCTATTATCCTATATTATCCTATTATCCTATATCTACAAATCTTTCCTATTATTATTTAGCTACAGCTAAACGAAAAAGGAGAGGATGGTATATGAAAGAAAATGGAAATCTACTCAACTATAAGTGGTTTGAAGGCAAGTCAAATCAACAGGCATTTATTAATTGCCTACTATGTGCCAGGCACTGTTCAAAGTACAAGGCATTAAAAAAAAAAGGGAAAAAAATAGTCTGTGTCCTCAGGGAACGATAATCTTATACACTCAGATATCAAGGTAGATAGTATACATGTGGCTTCTTCTGTTTTAGCCATGTAAGAACAGAAGAGGAAGTCAAGGAGAACAGATGAAAAAATAACTTAACAGAAAATACTACTCTTTTTATTTAGTTCAAAACAGCCTATGTGAATAACTAGACTGCCTGTGGCTCAAAGAAAAGCCTCAAGAAACTGTGAAAAACTGAAAGAGCTCTTGAAGCCAAGATGACTTGAAGTCCTGAGAGAAGATTCTTCAAGATAACTTCAAGACTAGTTAGAAAGAAATGGAGGAGAATGTAGCCACTTCAGGGGTGACAGCTTAGAAAAAATAACTGAGAGGTTGAGGGATTAGAGGTCAAGGTGAGGATGAAGAACCAGGGTAGTGGACGCAAAGGCAGAGGAAAAGGTGAAATAACAATAGTGGTCACATAAGGGAATTCCAGAGCTCATGAACATGGAACACAGGAAGTAAGGTGAGGAACTAGGAAGTGAAGGTGTTTGAAAGAGTATCAAAGTATATGTTGAAGTCTCCCAGGATGAGGGCAGGCATTAGGGAGGAGAGTAAGACCATGAGTCAGGCACTGAACTCACTGAGGAAAAAAGGAGAGTGTTCTAGCATTTGGTAGATAGCAGCTATCAGAATCTTGAGTGGACGGCAAATAGAGGTTGAGTGAACCTCAAAGGAGAAGAGGTAACTAAGTGATGATGACAGAGTAAGAGCCCGAAAATGGCAATTCCCACTATTTTCAGTGAATTAGGGGCATAAATGCTTTCATTTATCACATTTATCACAACCAGTCCTGGAAAGTATGGCCAATGAAGTTGTGCCATTAGGAAGGAGCTAGGTCTCAATGAGTGCAAGAAGTTGAAAGGAGTGAAAAAGGAAAAGGTTCAGGATGAAAGTAAGTTTGTTACCTATGGCATAGACACTCCAAAGAAAACAATGGAAGAGATGGGTTGATTTAGAGTGCAAGAATGGTGTCTGAACAATGACAGCTGGAGGATCCCTGGGGTAAGGGTATGAAGTTTGTTAATCTAGTTTGTTAATCATGAAGGAATGAGTTCAAGTAGGTTGTCATCATCCTTTGAGGTTCAGCCTCAGTACAGTGTCTTCCTAAGAAATCAGGGAGCAGTATGTAGCTAGAAATCTTGGGGGGGGGAGGTACTGACAAAGTTCAAGTAAGGGATTGGTGAGGGTGGAGTAAAAAAAAGAGTGTAGGGGGTATTGGGAAAGTGCACAATGGAATGGTGGGCCCAAAACAGCAAGAATATTAGTAAGTTCCCTTCCTTCCCTAGCAAGAACTTCTCTCCTTATCCAGTAGGTTTGGGTGGGGGACTGGTGGAGGTGGAATTGCAGAAAATCAAAGAGGGAGCCAAGAAGGTTGAAAAACCAGATGAAAAGTTACTCCAAATCATTAATTATATGATAAATGACAAAACCAATTTAGAGGCTTCATCTCACATTCAGCAAATTGGAAAGGATGACAAAAGCCAGGAATAGTAGATGTTGGAGGGGCTACAGAAAGACAAGAATAGAAATACATTGTTGGTGGTACTATGAATTGGCCCCTCATTCTAGAAAACAATTTGAAATTATGCTTTAAAAAGTGACTAAATTGTTCACAGCCTTTGACTCAGAGATCCCACTACTAAGCATATACTCCAAGGAGACCAAAGACAGAAAGGACCCATGAATACAGTAAGATGCACTACATTTGTGGCAACAAAGAACTGGAAATAGAGTAGGTACTGTTATTGCACAATGGCTAAACAAATTGTGGTATGTGAATATAATGGAATATTCCAGTACTATAAGAGATTATGAACCTAGAAAAGCATGGGAAGACATATTAAGTGATGCATGGTGAAATAACAGAAATAATACAATGATTACAAGAATTTAAATGGAAAGAACAAAAACCCTGAAACAGAACTATGTAGACTTATAACAACCAAGCCTGGTCCCAGAAAAAGGTTCAGTAAATGCATCACCCTCGTTTCTTTGCAGTAGTAGACTAGGGTTGTGGAAGCTTGTATATGCTCTTAAATAGTTCACAGGCTGGTTTTGCTGAACTTTCTTTTTCACTTTTTGTTATTAGAAATGTTTCACTGGGTAGGGAAAGTGTAGAGGGGTGAGAGAAGTATACCTGGACATGAGGATGCCAGCCTCCACTATCATCCCTACTCTCCTCCAGTTTCAATCACTTCTTCCCTGAACAAACATGTCTACATCTCTCCATCCTTAAAAAACCTCTCACTTGATCCTTTGAGGCCAACCGGTTATTGTCCTATTATATCTTCAGCCCCTTTGTGACTAAACTCTTTAAGAAAGCTGTCTACACAACTCCAAAAGACTCAGGATGGAAAATGCTATCCATATCCAGGGAAAGAACTTTGGAGTCAGAATGCAGATGGAAGCATTACTATTTGCTCTCCTTTTCTTTTGTTGTTTTGTTCTATCTCTTCTTTCTCGTGGTTCCTCCCCTTAGTTCTAATTCTTCTTTACATCATGACTAGTGTGAAAATGTGTTTAATTTGAATGTATAAGTACAGCCTATATCAAATTGCATGCCATCTTAGGGAAGGAGGAGGAGAGGGAGAGGGAGAAAATTTAAAACTCAAAATGTTATGGAAGTGAAAGTTGAAAACTAAAAATTAATTAACTATAAAAAAAGAAAACTGTCTACATTAAGTGACTCCACTTCCTTTCCATATATATATATATGTATGGAGAGAGAGAGAGAGAGAATTTTACTTCACTATAAATGGTTTTCTCTATAATCCTATGTATTTTATTTTATGCATTTAAAAATATTCTGGGAAAGAATGCATAGGCTTTACTAGACTGCCAAAAAGGTTCATGACACAAAACCTGAACTGTTCTCTGCAAAGTTACCAGTGATTTCTTAACCACAAATCAAATGGCCTTTTCTCAGTCCTCAGCCTTCTTGACCTTTCTGCAGCATTTAATACTGATGATCACCCTCTCCTCTTGAATACTCTCTCCTCTCTGGATTTTCATGATACTGCTCTCTCTGGTTCTCCTTCTGTCTGACTACTTCTCAGCCTCATTTGATGGCTAGGGAAGGAAGGGAACTTCCTAATATTCTTGCCTTTCTGGGCTCACTATTCTATCGTGCTGCCTCTCAATACCCACAACATACCCACTAACCACTAGTATCCATATGAAAAGAGTATTACTTGAATTCTCTCACCTTCCAAGGCCGTCTTATCCCTTTGAAAAAGTCAGGCATCCACATTGGGAGAACAACAGCCTCCCTTAGTAATTTTTTTGCTTCTTCTAAATCAGCTATGTCATCCCTTTGCAAAAAATAGAAGGGTTTTACAAAACATTTACAACTGTTTTAGTTTTCACAGTTAACACCAGCTTTTATATGTCCTTTCCTTTTTTTATTATTCAGTTATACACATATAAGCCCATTTTAAAATTCTATTGCCTACACTAATTTTCAGTGGAATAACAATGAAAAGATTTTGTAGCTAAAGACAAAAATTATTTAATAAAACACTGTTATCAATATTAAAGTAATATTTTATACTGATTATAGTTATAAGTACTACAAAAAGTATTTATACTTTATATATACATTCGATCTGTTATATATATACATACTTTATATATATATATTTATATATACATTCTATCTGTTATCGATGAATTTATAATCTGAAACCTATTACACTTATAAACATTTTTTCTTACAAATTTCAAAGTCATAGCAAATCATCCATATACAAAAAAAAGCTTACAACAGGTAAAAATACTCATACCAATGAATGCTAGGATTTCTGGATACTATGTCCCTTTCAAGAGCTTCAACTAGATCTTTATCATATCCAGCACCATCAAACTTTTGAATTTCCCCATCACCTGCACCATCTGGCAGATTCTTCCTTCCCTACAGACATAAAGAAAAAAATTTAAGTAAAATCAACAATTAAGAATTAAATATTAAAGAAAAAAGAATTAAATAACCAGGTACATAATACTGAAACATAACCTATTGAACCCAATTTCTATCACATTATGATAACTCATGCTCACCTTCCAAACAGTCTAGTTCAAGAAAAATAGAAAAACCTACTCATTCTTATTAAGGACTTCTTCAGCCTCATTCTTGGAGGTCATCTGCTTCTAGAGTTAAGAGGGAACCTCCAGAGATCTTTAGAAGCCTAGCTCTGGTTTTATTGGAGTATGGGATTTTCATCACACTCATAGTTGTGATGTGAATGAACCATGAACATATTCTGCATCAATTTTATCATGGAGAAGGCTGTCCAAATTTTAAAGAACCAGTTCAAAATTTATGCGCTAGCTGCTGCATATTGAAGAGAGAGGCCTTATATCTACCCCATACACCACCATCCCCAGTGTTAAAGGGTCCCCTGTATTTGTCTTTTTGAGTTGCCATATTTTCCGGAAACACTGGACCCAGAATATGCAGGAGGCCCTAAATGTGTCAAGGACGAAGCCCCTCCCCTTCCCTGAGCTGACATAATTTGTTGTTTGCACCCTAAGCTGGAATCTCTGTGTGTCCTTGGGAGTCAAGACAGGCGCCAGTCAGTCTACACTAGACTAGGAAAGTGCTTGTGCAGCTGGGACCCTTGGAGATAAGCAGACCATCATATCTTCATGGTCTAGTAGTTCCCAAGGGAAAAGAATGCTGCTTTTGCCATCTTAATTATTCATGATTTCTCCTCCCCTGCCACTCCCATTTAGGTGGAGATTTCTGTTTCTCCTCTTCTCTTTGTAGCAATTTCATAAATATGCAAGCTTCTGTTTGGATTGTGAACTCTTTGCCCTGGCTTAGGGCATGTTTATTTCTCTTGTAATAAATCTAGTTGCAATGCAATGTCTCATGGATTTGTGATACTGTTTTAGGTTAACACCAGAAAGGGGCCACAAGCCCCTAGAACCAAAAAAATGACCTCAACAATCAGGGTAATAAATGTCTTGAGCCATGTCAAAAATCCACCATACTGTTCCTATGGAATTATGTTGTCAAAATTGCTTTTTCTAAAGTTATCTGTTAAGTAGAAACAAAATGACATACCAAATTTTTTATTCAATAAATGATGGTTTTTTAAAAATTACATACTATATGCCCAATTTCACTGAATTCTGTAAGATTTAATAGAGTCTATGAAAGAGTTTAAAAGTATTATATTTAATTCCCAAAGACAGCTCAAAATGTGGAACCATTTCAGTAGGCAGAACCAAGTGCTTCCCTGGGACTTCAGCTCTTTGCTTATTTTCTAATATTAAAAGGAAAGAAAATATTCAAAGGGAATCAACCCCACAAAGTTTCGAATCTTAGCAGAAAAAGAATAGGACAGTGTGAGCCTACTCCACAAATACATCTTCTGAGATAAACAACAGACCTGATCCTAATTGGTGAGAAGGGAATAAACTGTTCCCTTTGGAGAAATACTTCAGCTCTTTTTTCAAGCCACTAGGGTTTGATTTAGTAAATGACCTCTGCCACAACTAAACAGTACCTTGGAGGCTGGAATCCAAAAGTGAGCAATTTACTGCTTCTCTGAAGTAATGCAATAGAATCAGGTCCAACTTTGAACAAGTTTCTTGTCTCCAAAGTTGACATGTCAACAGTAACAAAGAGTTAAAGACATTTCAGCTATGCCCAAAAGGCAATCAAACTGTGCATACCCTTTTATTCAGCAATACCACTACTAGGTCTGTATCCCAAAGAGATCATTAAAATGGGAAAATGCACAAAAATATTTATAGCAGCTCTTTTTGTGGTGGCAAAGGATTGGAAATTGAGGGAATGCCCATCAACTGGGGAATGGCTGAACAAGTTGTGGTATATGAATGTAATGAAATACTACTGTGCTATAAGAAATGATGAGCTGGTGGGTTTCAGGAAGACTTACATGAATTGATGCTGAGTGAAGTGAGCAGAACCAAAACACTGTATTCAGTAACAGTAACTGTGCGATGACTAACTTTGATAGACTTAACTCTTCTCAGCAATGCAAGGATCTAAGAAATCTCCAAAAGTCTCATGATGTAAGTATTCACATCCAGAGAAAGAACTATAGGGTCTGAATGCAAAACAAAACATACTATTTTCACTTTTTTTGTTGTTTTTTGTGGCTTTTCTCTTTTGTTCTGTTTCTTCTTTCACAATATGACTAACGTGGAAATATGTTTCCATGACTGTACATGTATAATCTACATCAGATTGCTTGCCATCTTGGGGCAGGGGGAGGGAAGAAAGGGAGGGAGAGAAACATAGAACTCAAAATCTTATAAAAATGAATGTTGAAAACTATCTTTACATGCAATTGGAAAAAAAATACTATTTTTAAAAGATATTTCAGGTATGCTTGTGTACCAAATATGTCTAGATGCTCTCTGGAATCAGATTTTGTAATAATGATAATCAGTACAAAGTTATACTACAGAGTCACACTGAAGCAAAGATGCAAATAATACTCTATAACAATTCAGCCTCATATTCTTGGAGGTCATCTGCTTCTAGAGTTAAGAGGGAACCTCCAGAGGTCTTTAGAAGCCAATGAAGAATGGTAATAGAAACTGATAAAACTTCTGCTTGGGGAGCCCAAGTAGATCCAGTATAATAACCTTAGATTTTCAAGAGCTAAACAATGGGAAATATAGTCATGGAGGGAGGAATGGAGGAAAAAGGAATAGCCTGAGGGAGGAGGAAGGGAAAGTCAGATAAGGGAGGGGGAAGGAAGAGAAATGGGGGAGAGGTGGCACAGCTGGAAAGAAAGGAGTAAGGGAAAGGACAAAAGAAACTTATTTGTCTTTTGTTATCAAAATTGATTAGATCTTGCTCTGAATAGCAAGGCCCCAAACCCTGTCAAACTTTTTACTATAACTAACTCCTCAGATAGCATTCTTTCATCTTCAAAAGAGGAAACACTATTATCTCAAAACTACAAACCTTTTAGTCAGGTGGACATTCCTTCAAAACTCTATCAACAGATTTCTTCTCAGCAAATTGTAACTCTCAGTTCCTCCACTGCATAAGGAGCAAGAATGCTTTAAGAATAACCACTCTACTAATTAGAGCTATACTTCCTTTAATCTCCCCAAGAAAACATATTAAAAATATAAGATTTTCACAGCATTCAATGATCTCAGCAGCTTTAAAAACAGAATATGAATCAAGCTGAATAATTCAATATAGATCCTTTCTTCAAAGTCCATCTCAACAAAGCTACCAGCACTTTACAGTAGACAGAATTGTGTTTCGTCAGATGAAATTCCACTTGTAAATGGAGTAAAACTGGGCTATGGCACCACCTACCCTCATTCTTTCTAACTGGCATTTAAATAACCTGAGTCAGCCATTAGATGATTAGATGGAATCCTCTAGCCATAAACAATGGAAAGATAAGCATCCTTCTCTATGCTGATGAATACACTTTATCTCAAACAGAAGCAGCAACCTGCCGGCTTATTGCCAGGAAGAGTAGCTTAGTATATAGATTCTAATAAAATGAAAATGCGTGTACTTGTTAGACATTTGGCAATATTTAAATAGCTATTACAAACAATCTCATATAATAGGTCAATTCATTAGGGGTACATATTGTGCTCCACTAGGGTGTGGTAGAGGTAGCTTATTGGTTATATACACCTCTAAAAATTTTCAGGGCTATGTTTTCTCTTACATGCTTTATGGTGCAAGACTGCAGTCTAATCTGAATCTTATGTGGAGTCAGCCTTCTTGACCTTTCTGCAGCATCTGATGCTTTGTGATCACCTTCCCTTCCTGGGCACTCTCTCCTCTCTTGGTTTTTATGACACTACTCTCTCCTGCTTCTCCTTATATCTGTCTGACCACTCCTCGGTCTCTTTGCTAGCTCTTCCTCAATGTCACACCCAGGAAATCACCTAAGGTTCTATCCAGACCTCTTCTCTTTTCCCTCTATACTATCTCAAGTGGTGATGTCATCAGCTCCCAAAGGTTCAATTATCATCTTTATGCAAATGATTTCCAGATCTAGACATCTAGCCCGAATGCCTCTCCTGAACTGTCTCATATCACCAACTGCCTTTTAGACATCTCAAAGTGGCTGTACTAGAGGCATCTCCTACCTGAAATGTCTAAAAGAGAACTCTTATCTTTCCCTCTAAACTAGCCCCTTTTCCCATGTCATGAACACCATTATTCTCATGGTTACCCAAGCTGACATCCCTAGTCTTATCCTTGACTTCATTTGCTCTCTCTCTGCGTATGTAACGCACTGCTAAATGTTGTTTCTAATGTCACAGCATCTCTCAGATCTGTCCCCTTCTCTCCGAGTTCAGGCTCAGGCTCTCATAAGCTCTCTTTTGCACGGACTACTGCAAGGGCCTCCTCCATGTCTCCCTGCCTCAAGTCTCTCCTCACTCCAATATATCCTATACTTAAGTCTACTAAGAAAAAATCAGAAATTTAATCAGAGGGCTATTTGAACATAGAAACTATCTAACCTAACAATTCAATGCCAAAAGGAATGCAAATCAGAATAGGTATCTGAAAGACTTCCACCAGTGATAAAATCTTGAAGACAATTTAAGACTAAATGTATGAAATAAGGTCTTTCTAGGAATAGATAAAAAGACATGCCTAGTCTGTACATGTCCTAGAACGGCACTAATCTTCCACTCTTGGAAAATATCTCCAATCTAGCCAAAAGAACTCCTCCAGTTTAAGTACACTTACCACTAAAAAATACTACTTTAGACAAACATGTATTCACAAATAACCATTTGAGGATAATAAATATGGTCTCTGAAGCTGAGTAGTGCAGGTTCCTTCCAAACATAACTGTACATTATCAGTAAACTATATTATGAAATTTATTTTAAACCATATAGGAGTTTCAATCATCATATTATAATTGAAATGCCACCCATTTTACCATAAAATATCAAAGATTTAATTAATCATAAAGTAATAAATAGCCCAAAACCAATATGGTTACCATAAATAATCATTTTAATTTTTTATATTTATAATATAGTATCATTTATTCCAAGAATCTAGTAATCACTTTTCCTTATTCCACCTACCATCTGATTTTTTTCTACAGTTTATCTCAGAAAAGTAATAGAGTGTATTACTTCTAAGTATATTTCTCTACTGGCTTCCAAACATTAATCAAAAAAAATAATGAACACAAATCTCCCAGAACATAAAAATAAAGTAGATTCATAAGTGTTGTAAATGTAAATTGGTTCTATGTTGACTCTATGACACTAGAAAAAACCATAGATCAATACATGATGTAACTGTAGCTCTCTAGTTCATATACAAAAGCTGCTTAGAACAAGGAAATTTTACCCACTGAAAAATTCTACTGAAAGTAAGCTTGGACTTAGTCTCACAGTAGTAAATGATGGTATCTGGTAACTCTCAAAATCTGAATGGCTGGGCAGAAAAAGTTAATCATAATTGAGAGAAGCTTAAAATATCTAAGCTTCCAAGAAAATTTGGCTTTCTCTGTTCACATCAGCTTTTTAAGGTCTATAGGGCCTGGAGTGGAAAACTTGATTTTTTTTATTTTCATTTGTCCGAGGAATTTAAAGGAGTTTGCATATTCATACTTGGCTCAAGTTGGATGAAATTAAGGTGAAGCCTGGAGGGTTCTAAAGCCAGTCGTGCTACAAGGCCTTGCCTTTTGCCCAAAAGATTACTAGCAGAGGCAAGTCTAACTTAGGCCCCTTTTCCCAGCTGCAAAGGCCAGCTGTATGACCCCTAGAGAACATGGAGAAAAATTAGGCGGCACAAGGAAGTTGTGTATATCTTTATTTATGAGACTTTTGCCTCAAAAGGGAAACATGGGCATAATAATAATACTAATAATCATTATCATGGAGTACAACAGATTGAATATAGTGTTTTACAAGCATATAAACAGTATTACTTCATTTATTTTCAGTGCCCCAGTGAGGCACTGAAACAAATTTTAGAATATTATTTCTATCAATATTGTTCCTAAAAATAACTTCAGACAAAAATGCTGTAGAAAAGGTGCTGACTTGGATTGTACAGAGGAAGCTTCCTCACCTGGGAGTTCTCTAAACCAATGAAATCATTGGTCCAGTCCCTACCATTCTTCATATGTAAAAATATAAAATAAGAGCTTGAATACTGACCAGCTAAAGAAACAATCAATGAATAGATTTGTGAATTAAGGTATTATTTATAGTTCAATTATGAAAGCTAGTTATTTGTTCATGTAAGTAAGCTATACTTTCTCTAGCAGTGTAGGCATATGGAAGTGACACTGATCCTGAATATTTATTATTATTAGCAAACTAAGAAAATCAAGCATATCTGTGATGACTCAAATACATTATCATTTACTTATGGGTAACAAGGATTTAAATGGAGGCAGAATAGATAATGTCAGATATGCAGGAGGGTTTGGCTGAACTTGCTTTTTTTATCTTTACTGCAAACAAGGGAAGACTTGCTGGCTAAGAGGGGGAAATAGCAACATTTTTATATACAGAATATATTAAGAAATGAACGTGATATAAGACAAAATGCATCTATACAACTAAAATTATAATTAAGGCAGAAAAAACAACTTAAGTCAATAATTCCCCTTGATAAGAAATGTAAAAAGGGATCATAACTGATGAATTTGCTAACACTTCTTGTCAATACATATATTAACCAACTTTGGTCTTTTGCCTCACTGTTAGCATTCGTGAATATTTTTCATGCATCAAAAATTCAGGAGCAGCTAGATGGTGTAGTGGATAGAGTACCGGCCCTAGAGTCAGGAGGACCTGAATTCAAATTCGGCCTCAGACACTTGATATTTAACTAGCTGTGTGACCCTGGGCAAGTCACTTAACCCCATTGCCTAGCCAAAAAAAAAAAATTCAATTAATTCTTTCTCCATAGTTAAGCATTACCGAAAGATAGTATAGCGTGTTGAAGAAAAGCCAGGTCTTGAAATCAAGACATGAGTTCAAGTGCCTCCTCTAATATACATTGGTTATGTGACCACAGGCAGATCATTTAATATCTCTGGTCCAAGGCAACTTTTTAAGACTTTAAATCCCAAATCAATTGCTCAACTGAATCATGGAAAGGTACTGTTTCCACAGGGGTATTTTCCTACCCCATTGAAAAAATAAATCCTAACTAAAAAACATGGTAACTATAGCTAATCTGAAGTCCCTTGGAAGTTTGCTTAAATTTTTCTTATCACCTCCTTAAGTTATTAAAAGACTAAATAAATAACAAATGACAATAAAGACTGTTGTTCCTTAATACTTTTGTTTTTTCATATAGAATTATTGATACTTGTGATGAAATAGAATATTGGGCCATTTTGTTCTGCCTCCCATTAGAATTAGATTTCACAAGTTCATTTGCAGGACAATAAAAGCTGCTGTGAAGCAGTCTGTTTATTTACTAGTGATTTCTCCTGTAAACAAATGCATAAAACCAGCTTCAAGCAAATAAAATTCCTTCAACTAGAAAAAAAATTCCTGGTTTTGCTATGAAAATCTGTTAATCATCTTTCTCATGTTATTCTTTATATAGATGAATTTCTTCCTAAAAATTATTTTCCTACAATTATTTTTCACTTACAACTCACTATAATTCAGAATACTTTTTTCTGCAAATATTTTTCAAAAATTCATTTTCTCCTTTATGTTAAGTATATGCTGAAAAAGAATCCATATTCAACAGAAGTTTGGAAATTATTTTCCCCATTTATAATTCTATTCTTTGGATTCCATTTCAAGATATTTTCACTGAATTTTCAAGTGCTTGAAATATAACTCAGTATTCAAATTACAATGCCCTCTTGGGGCTTATAATCAAACCACAATTTTTACTCGACCTATACAAAAGCAACAAACATGAGAACCTATGAGACCCATAAGAAGCTAATAAAAGTAAATTTTATCTACCAAAAGGCACAGGCTTTCAGTGAGATCACTAGAAAAATATATTCTTGCCTTGTCGTCTCTCCCTCTTGCTCTAAAATCCTTGTCCCTACTGGAGGTGGGTTTTTCGCTCTTTGATATAGGGTGTGCTCTGCCTACAGGTCCCCGAGGCCCTACTCCTGGTATTTCTTTCCTCAGGGGTCTCATTTCTCGATTTGGGCGCCTTATCTGAGGTGGAGCCCTGACAAAGAGAAAAACAAGCATTAGTAAAAGTAAAATATATATTATGTATATATTTTTAAAGCATCTTTGATGTTATCTTAATAACACTACTAAATACACTCAATATCTCAACTATGTCTTTCTCTTCTATTAAGTCATGTACATACCTGTCAGGAATATGAATTTTTTAAAAGTTCTTTTAAAAAGAAAATTTCTTTCAAGTCCTTTCAATACAAACAGCTACATTCATTAGACAGACCAAAAGAAGACAGTTACCTAATTTATAATCATATTATTATTGAGGACAAAGTTAACTCTCCCCTATTAAATAATCTTAATGGCTCCATGGAAGCCTATTTTATTCAGTCTTTTCCTAAACCAACAGTATGTAACTTAAAAGAATGCTTCAAAAACTGCAGAAGGACAAGAAGTAGGGAACAATCAACGAACAATTTACACATTTACTCTTCCCAATAACTAAAAGTAGGTGATTTTCTTCTCCACTGTTAAGAGTAAGCCCAGAAATTTCCTTAGTCAAATGCCAAATGGTAGCATTTCTATTGAATTCATTCAACAAATATGTTTTAAGTCTCCACTCTGTGCAGTACACTGTGCTACACAATCAAAGGGACACACAGCAAAAACAAAACAGCCCCATTCTCAAGGCACTTACACATTGTCCTGGGGTTCACACGCCATGTACACAAGTAAATAAATACCAAGTAATCTGAGATTCTAAGAAGTGGAAAGGAAGAAAGAGTCCACTTTAGACTCAGGGATGGAACATCACTTGTCCAAAAATACCAAGGAGCAATGGGATACACTGTAGAAGTGCTAGCAGGCCAGTCTGACTGCAATGGAGAATGTGAAGGAAGAAAGGAGTTGTACTGCGGAAGGTTTTTAATGCCAGGCTGAGGATTCTACATTTTGTCCTGAAGACAAAAAGGAGCCATTGAACATTCCCCAGTAGCAGAGGTGGGAGACATGGGGTCGGCAGGGTGAGGATGGGTTGTAGAGGTGAGAAACCAGATACAAGAAGATCAATTAAGAAGCTACTGAAAAAATCCAAAGGTGAAATCATTCTGAAGAACAATTTGGAACTATGCCCAAGACTATAAAACTATGCATACCCTTTGACCCCAGCTACTAGGTTTGTTTCCCCAAAAGATCAAAGAAAAAGGAAAAGGACTCATATGTACAAGAGTATTTATAACAGTTCTTTTTGTGGCGGCAAAGAATTGGAAACTGAAGGGATGCCCATCAGCTGTAAAACAGCTGAACAAGTTTTGTTATATGATTGTGATGGAACACTATTGTGGTATAAGAAAAGACAAGGAGACTGGTTTCAGAAAAATCTAGGAAGAACTATATATAAATTGACACAGAGTGAGAGAACAGAACCAGGAAATTATTTTGCACAGTAGCAACAATATCGTATTGCTGATCAACTGCTCTAAGCAATGAAATGATCCAACTCAATTCCAAAAGACTCATTATGAAAAATGCTATCCATCTGTTGAGAAAGAATTGATGAAATCTGAGTGCAAACTGAAGTATAATTTTTTCATTTTCTTCATTTTTCTTGCTTTTTTGCAACATGGCTATTATAGAAAGTTGTCTTTTGTGATTCCACATGTACAACTGATATCATATCATTTGCATTCTCAATTGGTAGGGAAGAGGCTAGAGGAGAGGAAAGAATTTGGAACTCAAACTTTTTTAAATGAATGTTAAAAATAAATATTTTTTTTTAAATCCAAAGGTGAGCTGATGAGGGCTTGTGTAAGTAGAAAGAATGTAACTGATAGGAGACGTGTGGTCAATGAAGGATAAACAACATTTTGCAACTGATTAGATATGGGAATTGAGGTTGAGGGAACATTAAAATTAAAAACATTAAAATTAAAATTAAAAATGGAAAGTAAATAAAATTCACATTCTGAGGTTTGGGGAAGTTAGAACAGTCAAATAAACGTATTTATCACTTGTAAAAATCAAAGCATATCCACCCCTCAAATTAACACAAATTCTCAAACTAAACCAAGAATTTTAATAACCAATGGTACAAAAAAGCAAAGTTTATTTTGTGTAATGTGAAATACATCTCTGATACATCTCTGCAAGTCTAATAAGTATAATCATGAGGCCTCGTCTCTCAGTAATGAATCTGTTTCTCTGTTCTACTCTATCTTGGTTCTGCCTTTCTCTGTGTCTCTGCCTGTGTTTCTCTTTGAGTACATCTATCATCAGTACCTCTCTGTTGCCTCTGCCTCTATCTATGTTTTTTTGATCCCATGTGTATCCACTTCATTCTCATGCACTAGCCCTTGGTACCCCTCTTTTAGCCAGGAGCTTTAATTCACTTGCAGAAACATCAGAGCATTTCCCTGCCTAGGGCCTGGAATGTGAGTACAAACATGCCACTCTTCAATGAATGGAGCAAGAGGAACAGATGAGAAGTTTATAAAAGGCACATCCTTGGAGCAAAATATACATAAAATATATGACAAACTGACCCAAGACACCAACATAGCACTTTTGTTCAGATTACTAAAGCCCACTGTCACAAACCAAACCATTTTTGTTAATTTTTTTTTATTTTAAACTTAAATACAACATAAAAAAAAGAAAAAAAAACTTAAAATACCAAAACTTAAATACAAAATAAGAAAAGAAAAAAAATCGCCATGTGCACAGCAGAACATGACAGAATTCAAAATATAAAGCAATAAATTTCCATTTCAAGAAATCCTATATAATAAATACTACACATTATGTTCACAGCTGTCCATCTTTTCTTTACTTCCTTGTAGGTTTTATTTTGTTTTCTGCTATGCTTTGTCCTTTTTTCCCCCTTCCTCTTCCCCTCCCCCAAGAAGGCTACAATTAAGTGCACACACACACACATAACATACACATTCATATATACACACAAACACATAAAGACATACATATAGATATACATACATGCATGCACTTACATATACATATATATACATAGATATGTATAATCATACACATATATATTCATATGTATCTATGTAAGACCATACTATCCTTGTTTGTGCTCTGTTTCTCTGAAGGTGGATAACATCTTTCTTTTTAAATCCAAGTCTTTCCATATTTTTCTAAGTCCACTGATCCATCATTTCCTACACCAGAGCAATATTCCAACTTTACACTGTCTAGTTATTTTAAATAGTCAAAACCAACATTGATTAATGTGGTTGACATTTGGTGTAGTTTCCCTATTTTTCTTTTGATTAAATCCATTTTAACTTTAACTTTGTCTGAGATCATGATTACTAGCCCTGCTTTTTTTCCCCTAATAAATTCTACTCCTGATCTTTATTTTATGTTTGTGTGTATCTCTTATTTCCTATCCATCCTGACTCCTCTACTTTACTTCTACCCACTATCTTGCCTTCATATCATTTAACCTTATCCTCTCCCCCACTTTCCTCTTGCCCTCATTTCTAACTGAATCTATAAGACATTTATAGCCTTCCAAATATATATCTCATGCCCATTAATCTGGACACCCTTCTATACCTCCCCTTATCCTATTCCCTTACCTTCTTATTTCGTTATAAATTTAGAAGACTTTTATTCCCTTCTAAATGTACACATTATTCTCTCTTTAACCCAGATCTGATATGAGTAGGGTTCCCTCTAAAAATCCCCCCATCACCTTAGCCTTTTACCTCTTTCTGAATTTAAAAGACCTTTATACCCTTCTAGATATATATGTATTGTTCCCTCTTTAACCCATTACCAATGAGAGTAGGGTAGGGTTCCAGAACTACTAGCCCTCCTCCTCCACTTAACTCCTCTGGGTGAGTTCTTCCTCTCCTACTTGGTTTGTATAAGATAATTCCTCTTTTTACCTTTTCCTAGACAGTATTACTTTTTAAAATCACATCATAGTCAGCTCTACTCCAATCTTTCTTTCAAACTACCCAATTACTAATTACAATCTTAGAGACAGCATACATTTCCTCATATAAAAAGTAAACAGTCTGTCCTTTTTCAGTCCCTTGTAATTAGTCTTTGACGTTTACCTTTGATGTCTACCTTGATGTTTCTCTTGGATTTTGCAGGTCAAATTTTCTATTAAGTTCAAGTCTTTTTGTCCTGAAAGTCTGGCAATTTATTTAATGTCCATTTTTTCATTCAGGATTATGCTCAACTTTGCTGGGTATGATATTTTCAGCTGTAATCCCAGTTTTTTTGCTCTTCAATATATAGTGTTCCAAGATCTGTGGTCTTTTAATGTAGCCACTGCTAGGTCTTGTGTGATTCCAATTGTGACTCTGCCATAAGTAATTTTTTTTTTCTTTTTTCTCATAATATTTTCTCCTTGAGCTGGGGGTTTCAGAATTTAGCTGTGATATTCCTATAGGTTTTCCCCACAGGATCTTTCAGGTGATGATTAGTGTATTTTTTCTATTTCTACTTTCCTCTCTTGTTTTAACACTTCGGGACAATTTTCTTTAATTATTTCTGGTATTACAGTATTGATTCTTTTTTTGATTATAGATTTCAGGTAGTTCGATTGCTCTTAATGTTTTCTCTTCGTGATCTGGTCTCCAGATCAGCTGTTTTTCTTATAAGAGGTTTCACATTCTCTTCTATTTTTTATTCTTTTCATTTTGTTTTATTATTTCTTGGTCTCTTATAACTTCGCTAGTTTCCCCTTGCCCAATTCTAATTTTTAAGGAATCATTTTCTTCCTTAAAATTCTGGATCTCCAATTCTAGTTGGTTAACTTTCTTTTCATAATCTTGTTTTTATTGGATTTTTCTTTTTTTATTTTTCCTCCATCTCTCTCATTTGATTTTTAAAGTCTTTTCAAATTTCATCAATGAATTCTTTTGGGGCAAGTGAACATCTGACATTACTCTTTGGGGTAAGAGAGGCTTTTTTTGCTTCAGTATCCTCCTCCAAAGACAAACCCCACTCTTCTCTATTCCCAAAGTAACTTTCTATGGTTGCGTTCTTTCTCCTTTTCCTGCTCAT